TATATTCAGGAAAATTTTTACAAGTAATATCACGTTTGAATAAGCAAACTGATATGATGGTTGCGAATGATTAGAAGGCATGATTATGCTGCCGGAGGTTAGTGCTTATGCTGCAATTAATTTCGTACTTTCTTCTGCAGCGCGGGAAAATAACATTCTAATCCGCGATCACTATGTAACGGCTAATTGCACGTCTAAATGCGTACCACGCACAGTCACGCACTGACTTACATTTTGCAGTAATTCGATATAGACCAGGTCAAGAATTTGTAGTCGTTTAGTGTATCATTTAATAATAAACTTTTAATAAGGAGCTATTCCATTCGTCGTGCAAATTTACGTACTAACAGATTACAAGACTTACAGAAGTGGTATTTCAAATGATGAAAAGTGAACGAGTGAAGTGATTGAAAGTGAACGAGTCCAAATAGAGGTTTCCCCAATTCCTAGATTGCCACCATGGCACTAGGTCTGGTGGGAAAATGTTGAGATTCTCAGAGCAAAAGTCCACAACTCCACGTCACCCAGTGAGAACATCAAAACACGTGTCGAAGTTGATAGTTGACCTTGCTCTACCAAATAGTGATAAACTGTTTGTGTAGAAAGAATATTATGGTTTGAGACTTTTAAATGAGTCTGTGAATAATGAATATATTAGGAATCCTTCAAGTATACTTGTATATGCTGATTTTAAGAGGTAAATAAATTAATAGATGATTAAGTTAAAGATGGTTTTAGACACATAAAAACTAAATGCGATAAAGCTCGAAATTAAACACTCACAGCTTGTTCTGAGCTGTGTCGTATTCTGATACAGCTCACACAGGGCGTCGGAATTCCAACACAGGGCATCAGAATTACGGTTTTGAAGCGTTGTCAGAATTAGTCTCACAATATGCCTAATTTGATCGCACACAGCATTGGAATTCAGCGATTTTGTAGATTTGAATTATAAAGGCTTTTAAATAAATATGGCAACAGTTTGTGACGTTTCATCATTGCTGGCGCGTAGTGTGGTGTTTTGAGAGTGACTTGAACCAATCAGAACTCAAGTTGTGCATGCGGTGATCATTTTATAGTCATTCATTTCTTGCTACGTCCTTAAAGTGTTGGAATATGGTGTGTTCACCGGGCCGGTAAACACACCATATTCTGACACAAAAAACTCTCTGCTTTGCCACTATGCCACTTTACCCTAGTGTCAATTCCAGCAAATGGGGAAAATGAAAACATTGGAAAGAGACCCTGGAGGATGAAGAATATTTGCCTGTGATTCTTTGAAATCACCAATGAAACAATTGTTTATATGTATCATGTAAGCTGTTCTGATCTTGAAAACTTGAAACACTGAAGCATAACTGCAAGGCTGAGACTTTTTTTTTTTTTTGCCCTTTCTTTTGAGTCCAGTGTGGAATTCTAGAAATGGAAGTTTGCTTATAATAAAAGCTTTTCATCCAAGGTAGAAAGCTTTCCTTAGATACAGTGCTCTGCCAGGTGACTGACTATAAAGAAAAAGGGTGATCAGAAGTGGACAAACTGTTTCAATTGTATAATAGTCAGTAGTACCTCTGATTTGTTTTAATATTGTTTAGTTGTTTTGTGTTTAATTGATATTTTTTCTTTTATTTGATGGACTTTTTCAAAATTTTCCAGGCCCTTTGTTTGTAATGAACCAAGCATGGAAAACTTCTACCATTAGGGCCACAACTAGAGCTTTCCTGCCCCCGCCATTTCTGGAACCGTGCAATTTCCGCCAGATGAATTAACTCCTATCTAATTGTTAACAAAAGTGCAGGAACGAGGCTGCAAGATTCCAAATGTATTGAAAATTTGTCCAGTTGGAGTCACCAGATTTCAAAAACAATTAGGAAAATTCTAATCCTGTAATGCCAGAATGATTAAGTTTAAGATAAGTATTAATTTTTATTTCAATAATTAAGTCAACCAGTACACTGTACACATACCATGTATGGGAACTACCAATTACAGCTGGAAAGGACATCACAATCCCCCCAACCAATCACAGCTGAAAAGGGATATCATCAACAGATATTTATATAATGGACTGAATGTGGAAAGATCCTGAATGTCCAGATCCTGATTTCTAAGCTTTCAGGTCCTACTTTCCAATATGCTATGTACTGGTATACTGGTCATTTTAATACCCCTCTAGAATTCCTCAGTCCACACTGCTTTTAACTACATGATATATGAGCAAACCAGTTAAAGTACGGTATCATGGATATTGGCATCATCATACTCATATATTGATATTATTTAAATTTTCAAGTAGATCAAGAAATTCATAATGAACTGATTGCTAAAAAAATCTCTTGTTTGCTCTATGCATTGAACTGACTGTAGATAGCATCCTAAAGTGATTAGCAGGGTGCAGTCTGCATATAATCTTGAATTTAAACTCTCTAGAAGATAAGAAAACTCCCACATAAAACTAAAGGTTTAGGGCTCAAAGTGACATATTTTTAATAATGCTTTAATTTTGGAGCTTTATTTGCAAGTTGGAAGCTGAGAAAAATTTATAAGCATTGACATGGTTTTTTTCCTTAAATCCTTTTTTAACCCTTTACGCCCTGGCGTGACGAATTCGTCACACAGAAAAAACATCGGTTTTCCAACAATTTCACGTTTTCTGTCATTTTTTCGAAAAATTCACAGGAATAAAAAAAGTCTTAGATTTATATTCTTTATGTACCTCCATTACTCTTTTATTTTACCTCAAAACTGCTCAATTGGTTCTGCCCCACCCTGTATATTGAGAGGTTGAGATTGTATTGACCTTTTAGGCAATTAGAAAGATTTTCCACCCTAATAGGAGTATTCTAATTAAAATATTTAATTTCAATCGTTAAACATGTGAATTTAAAACTAGAAAAAAACAATTACAATTATGAGACTATATGTAAAATAATTAAATGCAGTGAATGGATATAAAATATTTGAATTGTGCACATGTTTATTTCAAACAGTGTTAGCTTTTCTCATAACTTAAGTCTCGTTTCAAATCGTATGAGGTTTGTTTGGTTATCGTTCAGTTTATGTTTAGTATTGGTTTATTGGGTTGAATTAAATGGGAACAGTTGCAGTCAGTCACTCAGTCACTACTAGTCGGTGTGTATAGAGGGTAGAGTCTGGTAGATTTAAAGAACATAAAACTAGTAGATCTATTGATAGTGCTGTGCACTGTGCTATCAGCTGCCTATCTGTTATGTGACTCTTCAATGTTTAGAAGATCTGCATTCCTGAAGTGTTTTTGTATATTGAAGCCAGTTAAATGGTCAATATTTAGCTCATTACCTTGCGCCATAGTCCATACAAACTTTACAAAGCTAATGAATAGACTTATCGTTTACCCAAACTATACGTTTATATATACAAACTAGACTATACGTTTACCCAAAAATCCCAAAGTGGTAAACACCACCTTGGACTGTTGGCCATTATTGAAGGCAATAAGTGCCCTTTTTAGCAATCCATTATGATCCATATACTGTTATTGTTAGTAGGCTAATTGCAACATAAAAAATAATGCTTCAAAAAGATAAAAAAGCTGAAAAAATAAAAAAATCTAAAAAATCGAATAAATCAAAAAAATCAAATAAATAAAAAAAAAATAAAAAAAAATAAAAAAATTATTGATTTTTGATTTTTTACATTTTTTTGATTTAAAAAAAATAAAAAAAATTACCAACCCTCATCAGAAGTGGACAAACTGTTTCAATTGTGTAGTAGTCAGTAGTACCTCTGATTTGTTTTAATATTGTTTAGTTGTTTTGTGTTTAATTGATATTTTTATCTTTTATTTAATGGATTCTCAAAAAAATTTCCAGGCCCTTTGTTTGCAATGAATCAAGCATGGAAAACTTCTACCATTAGGGCCGCAACTAGAGCTTTCCCGCCCCTGCCATTTATGGAACTGTGCAATTTCTGCCAGATGAATTAACTCCTATCTAATTGTTAACAAAAGTGCAAGATCGGCCCGCAAGATTCCGAATGTATTGAAAATTTGTCCAGTTGGTGCTGCCAGATTTCAGAAACAAGTAGGAAAATTTCAATCCTGTTAAATGAACTAATGATTAAGTTTAAGATGATTATTAAGTTTATATTTCAATAATTAAGTCAACCAGTACACTGTACACATACCATGTATGGGAACTACCAATTACAGCTGGTAAGGACATCACAATCCCACCAACCAATCACAGCTGAAAAGGGATATCATCAACAGATATTATAATGGTCCGAGGAGCGAAGTTTTTCTACAAATGGAGCGGTGTTCCGGCACGCAAGGTGTTGGGGTGGAGGCCTCTTTCGTTTGGCCTGACCCGCCGGCCACCATGAAGCAAGACTACGGCATCACCACGACGCAGACGCGGCTGAAATCTGAGGCGTTCAATTCTCATGTTTCTTGCGCAGTCTCGACCTCGTCGTGGACGCTCATTATTTATTCGTTGATTATTTCTCCATTTAGTTTTACGTCCGAATATAAATATCAATCTTGCTGTGAAAACAGATCGATATCTATCAATCATAATTCAATGTAAAATAATGTGTATTATTATAATATCCGTAAAATAACAATTTGTCACGGGTAATGGACGGTCATCTGCTTATATAATTAAACCTTACATTATCTTCGTACAGTATGAAACACTTTATTGCATATGACCTGTTAGGCCAAATTATGTTATGCGGATCTTTAATCTGTTGACTGCAAATTATTAAAAATTAAGTCTAACAATATTACTCTTGAGTTTCAACTTATTACTTAATATGCGTTCTTACTCTTCTCAGCAGCACCATTCTATTTTTTCTTCTGTCAATTCTTTTTTGAAATCAATTAGATTTTTCAACATAAAGAAAGTTTACAAAAGTTTGCTTATTTCAGGTACACTTCAACTCATTCATGCTGGATGTGCACAAGCGTATCCACGCAGAGAAGCAGCTCATGGCCAAGGTGCACGCGCACGACCAGGCGCGATATTTCGACCCCAGCGGCACATACACGCTGCGCCAGCGCCCGCACGATGCCGTGGCGCCCGTGGCAAGGCAAATAATTCAGTCTGCCTGGCTCATCTGTTTTGACGAGTTCCAAGTAATATCCTTGTGATTATTTAGGTTAGTTGATCTGCATGATGTTTACCTATTATCTCTTTTATGTATTCATTATATATGTACGAGTCCTTTAAAGAGACCAAATTGACACATTTTAAATTAAGGTGGTTGGTTTTCCAACATTGTTTTTTCTCGGATAAGTGAGATTATATGTTAAATTTTTATTCTCATTTCGAGCTCTGTAACTTGTGGGATCCATTTTAAAAATCGCAAAATTATATTGCTTATGACGTTCAACGATGGGAATTATAGATACATTTCTCACAAGTAATTCTTATAGCTTTTATTTCAATTGTACTAATGGAGACCATTATGATTTAAGGTTACGGACATCGGCGACGCAATGGTCCTCAAGCGACTGTTCACTGAACTCTTCGAGCTCGGGGCCGTGGTGGTGGCGACCAGTAACAGAGCGCCTGACGACCTCTACAAGAACGGCTTGCAACGCTCACAGTTCCTGCCCTTCATTCCGCTCCTCAAAGCTCATGCTAATGTAAGTTTTTTTTATCAAAATAAAACTATTTTTAGACGAGTTCACAGAGAAATTTTGGACAATTTAGAATGTTATATATTTGAAGAAATTTGTGCTGTTGTATTTGCAGGTACAATGATATTATTGCCATAAATTTCTTTAAAATGAAACAATAAGATGAAAATGAGTACATTTTTATGCACTATTTGAGTATATATTTCCTGCACAGGTTATAAACTTGGACTCGGGCATCGATTATCGCACTCATCAACAGTCCAGCGTTACTGTGTTTTTTGTCAAAACCGAATGCGATGCTGAGGCTGAAATCAACAAAATTTTCAAGGTAACTTTAGTATTTTCATTCTTCACTTCAAGACATTATATCGCTGACCCGCGAGGAAGCAACTGTAATCCTATCGAGCATTGGCCAATTGAGCTCTACATGTCACGTGCCGAGTCATTGCTTACGCACTGAAAAACTTATTTCTTTCGAGAACAATTAACTTCTGTGCTTTTTCCTTCATGATTTTGGACACAAAAACTTTCCCTATACCAAACTAATTTGCCAATAATTTCTTGTTATTTACGCTTTATTAAGTAACATCCCAGTATGCTTGATAAAAATTTCAATGCCAATATATTAGCTTTCCTCGGGAACATGATTATTGTGGCCGTAAATTCCACATTTTTACCTGCGCAGATTTTATGTGCGTCAGAAACGGATGTTGTGAGGCCGCGCACCTTCTCCTACAGCGGCCGTAATCTAACCCTGCACAAAACCTGCGGACAAGTCGCCGACTGCTCCTTTGATGAGCTCTGCACCCAGGTAACTTGTACTGACATATTGACCATCATTAGGAGACTTTCTGGAGCACATTATTCATTTGAGGAGATCTGGAACCAATTAAGTTTTTATGAATACTAACACTCACTCGGGTACTTTTGGGAGTCAACCGGAAAAATTATACGTGGCTGCTTAGGCCTGCACTGTTCCCGATTTGCTATTCTAGTGCCGACGCCTTGTGGAATTGAAAATTAATAATTGTGTAATTGAAAGTTATTAGATGAATCACATTAAATTTTGAAGTCATATTGTATGTTTTACACAGGAGAATATATAACTGCTAGCAAGCATCTCGTGTCGAAACGAGATCGAATTAGTTTTCAACAATGCTGATCCTAATTGAAAGAAGTTGGCAGACTTACACGAGTAGTATTATCTGTCTGAACGGCTGATTCAGTTGTGATTACGCACTCGTGGTGCATTGCCTTTTGTTTAATTGTGCTGTGTTTTATCTGTTTATTTGTATTGATTAAGTGTAAGATTTCTCACATAGCCCCTCGCTGCTATGGACTACCTGCAGCTGAGTCAGGTCTTCCACACCATCATCATCCGCGACATCCCTCGTCTCAATCAAAACACTAAAGGACAGGCACGTCGGTTCATCACGCTCATCGATACTCTGTACGATAATAAGGTCCGTGGCTTTATCAATCCATCTTCTTGTGTCCTTTCTTTAGGTATTTTTCCGACTAAAGTCTGAAAAATTCATTCTTTTGCAAGTCGCTGAGGCGCATGACGGCTTCAAATTTTGTCTTGTCAACGTCAGGCTTTGAATCAATCTAATTTGAAACTTCAATGAAAAATTGAACGTTTACTATATGCTCCAATACAAAGTCTAATAACTCAGTTTTTCTCTCCAATACTGTTAATCCGCATATCGTATTTTCTCGTCAGTGTCTCTAGTTGAACTTATTTCAACACGAATGTTCTTGTAATTATTTGTTGTGTGACTGTTGACCGTAGAACGCCACACATGCTTTAGTTTCATTTGTGCCCTCTCATTTCAGGTGCGCGTTGTATGCAGCAGCGACGTCCCTCACGATCAAATTTTTGAGCGCTGGTCTCCTGAAATAATCAACAAAGAAAACTTAACCCTTATGGATGATTTGGGCCTCAAAGAGAAGGAAGCCGAAACTAAAAGCATAAACATTTTCACAGGAGAGGAGGAGATGTTTGCTTGCGATCGCACCGTCTCGAGACTCTCACAGATGATGACCAGCGAATATTGGCATGCTTATGACCAAGTTCATAGGTGATCCTCAGTCACTCTTAAATCACCTATTTGTCTATCAACCATTAATTCCTTTCTCTACTATTGGATAGTTAAATAAATTTTCTGTTACGTCGGTGCTTGAAATTAATTGAATTTAATCTTTCGAGTACGTGCAATTCAAATTTTTAAGTACGTGCAAGGTGCAATTCGTCGCACCTCAGTAGACAGTGGATGAATTAATTACTATGTTAGTTCATTAGTCCCTCGTTAATTTTCAGACTATCAACTCGCAGAATATAATGAAATAGAATTTTAACTCATAAACACAAGTCGCAAGATTAGCTTGAGACTATACTTTACAGCAATAGCTGGCGCCTTATATTGTACATAATTGTTATTTATTCGCCTTGTGTGATGTATTGACATTGGACATACGTAGCTCCAATTACATGAAAGACTTCATTTGAAAAAAAAATCAACCCCATTCACGTTGATTATTCGCTTCTGCCAAAATGCATTATTCTCGAGTAGCTTCATGTTCGCTCATCTTAATGCTCTTAACGGCGTGAGATTGGCTGAATTAATCAAGATTGTAATGCTTCCTCCTAAGTACAACGAACCGCCTTCAGTAAAAGTTTTATGATTTTGTATTTAAGCCCAAAGTACTGGAGCCTGAAGACAATGATGGCATTACGGACAATGTTAATTCCCACTATACATGCATAAAAAAACAATAAAGCCATTTTTTATCCGTGGAAATTGATTTTAACTCAACATTTGTCATGTTTACACATATTTCTAGTTGGTAACGCTTGCTCGAACTCTAGCGAAACAGCGGGGTACGCGTCACGCATGTAAGGGCGTCCTAGTATAGATGGCTGTCGAACGTCCTCAATGTGACAGCGTTGCCAGATGGTATATTTCTATACCAGATTTCACAAATCTGGTATTTTCAGAAGGTGTCTGGTAAGAATAATTTAGATCTGGCATATTTGCCTAAATCTGGTATTTTCTGACTTACTGCAAATTTTTTGCATTAAGTTCGACCTCTGAAGTTTGAACTTCGTCCAGCGTAGGCGTGGATTATATAGATCACCTTAAGAACGATGCAACTACCTAGGTAGAGGTTTCCCGGCCATTTTTGGAATCGCAAGTTTATCGCTTGATGAAATAACCCCAATCTAATTGGTAGCATTTAACAAGGGTGCTTAGTGCAATATAAGCACGATAGTGATGATCCTCGATTGATTACTGATCAGTATTGATATGGCCTAGGACTAGTGAGGTTGTCGAACCGATCTCAGCGACGCAAGCTCCACCATTTTTGATTGGTGGTTTTGAATTCTAGAGTGCCACTTGAATTCTGGGGTGCCATTCAATATTTCACTGATCTTGAAAAGCATCATCCATTCATTGAACTGGCTGCCCACTGCATCACTTGTCTACTTTGACCTGTCTCCAATGCATTCGTGGAGCGAGTGTTTTCACAAGTCACCTATGTGAAGAACAGGCAACGAAAGGAAATTTCAACTAAGGTACTGGAGTCCCCTCTTCGGACCAAAAGCTATCTGTTCAGCCGCAACAAGTGATCAAACCCGAAATGTTAGATAAATGCAATATGCAAGCATGTACAAAAATAAGCAAAAGAAAAATGACCCGTTTCCGTGGCTTGCTCATGTTGAGCGAAGGGGAAGAAGTGCCTCACTGTGATAAAAAAGGAAAAAGTGCCAATGGAATCAAACACAGCAAAAAATGTGTCAAAATATTCCAAACAGAGGGGAAAATAATAATATACGTTTAAAAATTACTTTTTAAAGACAACACTTCCAAAGAATCCAGTATCTCCAATCTTACAGATATACAATGAATTTCTCATTTAATTTTCGAAAATTAAAAAAATTAATTTTTCAATTTTTTAATATATAAATTTTTTTAATATATAATTTTTTTCAAAATTATTTATTTTATTAATTGATTCATGCATTGCCTCTGATTTCACACAAGTGTGCAAAATTTCAGATCNGTCTGAGCAGCGGCTCTTGCTTGTGGATGTTTTCTTGTGCCATGTTTGCCCTGTTTTCCACAGTTTGCATCCTGAGCCACTGTATCCACTGACCTACTATAAACAAGAATTCAGTGGTTACCTACTCAGAAGAATTTAAACACAATACAGGCTCTCAGGCCCAACGGCCGTCCTCGAGGTCGACCTGTGGCTTTAAGTCTACCCAGTGTAGACACCCCGAAAAGAAGAAGAAGACCTTGACCTCGTCAGTCGTCACTCATCACTCGTCATTTGCGGGTGGCCTCCAGGTGTCGGTGCGGTGTGGTGGTTGTGCTATCGGTCACCTATGGCGTAGTAACGGCACGCTGGGTGGAAACTTGACCTACAGTAAAATTCAAGGGGGTGATTCATGAATAATAATAGCAGAAACTTTTTTAGACTCTTCCTCAAGTTCATTTTTGAGTCCTAGACTCCTGTAAGTATAGACCAATAAAGTAGTTACCAACTTACCATGGGCATGGTCCATTCATGGAGACCGCAGGGCGCAGACCGGCATTATCATACTTGAGAAATTTGTTTAAATCTCGATTCTTGAGTAGACGAGGAAATAAATTGAACACGGAATGGATTCTAAAAAAGAAAATTAGCAGCTGGACTGGACACCCGACACCATGCCTTCAGGCATCAGCCTTCATTCAAGTTCATTGCCTTGATGGCTCGATGCCAGACACTGGCAGAGTGGCCAGACAGTCAGACCTTATTAAATCAAAATGGCATAATCTGCCTATATGAGTGCCTAAAACTAGTAAAACAGAATCATCTCTTTAGAACTTACTTCAACTTAGCTATTTCTTTTTTTGAACAGCTTACACCAACATGTCCCATGTGTGATGTCACTGATGTGTATACTGTGGTGAGTGGTGACTGGTGTGCAGATTGCAGAACATGTGGGACACAAGATCATAGTGGCAAAGCAGAGAGTTTTTTAGACTCTTCCTCAAGTTCATTTTTGAGTCCTATAAGTAGTAGACCAGTAAAGTATCCTGGATACTAGCATCATCATACTTAAGAAATTGGTTTAAATCTTGGGTAAATGAGGAAATTAAAAATGAACTAATTCTAAAAAAAGCTGTGGTTTGCCACTATGCACAAGATGAAGAAGCCATAACAATACTACAGCGCCGGCATAGTGGCAAAGCAGAGAGTTTTTTAGGCTCTCCCTCAAGTTCATTTTTGAGTCCTATAACGTAGAGTCGTAGACCAGTAAAGTAAAGTATCATGGATACCAGCATTATCTTACATAAGAAATTGATTTAAGTCTTGAGTCAATGAGGAAATTAAAAATGAACTGATTCTAAAAATCTCTGGTTTGTCACTATGCGCTAGGGTAAACGCGGTATATTCCGACACTTTGAGGACGCATCGAGAAATGAAAAACTATAAAAAAAACGTATGCATTACGTAAGTTCTGTTGCCTTCACATGACTCTCAAAACACTTCACTACGCGTCAGCAACAATGAAACTTCAAAATTTTGACACGAAACTGTGTCAACACTTCGGTTTAGGTGGCAACACTAGCGAGTGCCGCCTAATCTGGGCAACACTTTGGTTAAACCATGGGACTATATCCAATTGCCGACTCGTATTAATTAAGAACCATGGATGGCAGAGCTGACTGAGCGTATAATCGAGTATAGTTTTCACTTCTAAAGAGCAGTACATTTAGCACTATTTTTGAGGTTAGTACAGCTTCTCGATATATTCAGCCTTCTTGTGACCGATTTATGAGTGCCAGAGTTGAAAATGAAGTTAGGTTTTCCGTATTAACAAAAAAATTATTGATGTAAAAATCTGAAAAAATGCCCCGCGCAAACTACTTATATTATCTACTTATATTTCAAATTTGAATAAAATCCGTTCATTATTGAAGGATTTATGAGTGCCAGAGTTGATAATGAAGTTAGGTTTTCCATTCGAGCAAGCAGGCGAGTTCGCTGAAGTGTCGATTCGGTCTTCTGGTGTGAGTCCCTTCATGATATCACTTTGAACAAATAAATTTTATTTCCTATGCAAGTAATGATAGGCAATATATTATTTTCCTGCGCATTCAAAAGTTGTGATAAATTTATAGGATTGACTTTTAATATTTAGATTAGTCTTGCAAGGACCACATCATCTCTATACCGCAGAAATGAGTTTAAATTTTTTCATCTTCCGAGTATGAATATTCTACCGTCAATGCCAACATGTCAAAAACTTCGCCACATGGGTCGCCTGCCGAAGACCACTACTGCCCTCAGTGCCCTGGATGTTATGGACCATCATGATTCCTGCCTTCCGGAACGTCGCCTTCATGTTCATCACTTGAAGCCGTCCGTATCTAGGTCGTAGGTCGAACCAGCCCTCGGTCGAACGGCCATTTGTCGAAAGACGATAAATTTTGGAACAGAACTATGCTATCTGAAACCTAACCTCAGATGCGGTGAACGTAAAATTACGTAATTTAAGTCTTGTAGCCTAGGATATCTGCAAAAACACTTATTTTAGAGCATCCTTTGACCTTCTGGTATGACCCCAGGACAGGTATGTGAAGACTCAAGACTGAGATATGAGATTTCTGATGGATTTGATTTGAGGCATTGTGACATAAAAAAAAACCTGCAGAGTATTCTGGGTATTCAGTCATCATACCATGTAATTAGATAAAAGTGTAATTAAATAGGCATAGTGTGTCTGTGTGTGAATGCTTTTTTGAAAATAGGCATAGTGTGTGATCAGTGTGAATGCTTTTAGTAAGTTTAACTGCACATAACTTGGAGTTGGAGGCATGATCTTAATTTCTTTCCTGCTTGGCTTTTTATTATCTTAATTGATCCATTTTTTAATTTATGCTAGATGATGTCATCGCAATGTTTTTATCACATTGTGTGATGTTGTCATCTTATCAGGCCCATTTGTGTAGGCTTTCTTTATTTAGTAATAAACTGTTACATTTTTGCAAGAAAAATCGACTGAATTATGTTTTATCTAAAATTTTTTATGGCACTGCTGTGTCAGGCTCTAGAGGTCCAAAGGAAATCTATTCAACTCTTGTATCTGCCGCAAAACTAAAGCAAGATGTTCATCAGGAAGCAGTAGCTGCTGACCTTCAAAGGATTTATGAAGAGGTTTGTTAATGTTTTGTATTTAATACCTATGTTTATGATCATTTGCTTATGTTTTTGAATTTTGATTCATGGAAGTTATAGTGGCTGACTGAACTTCTTGATAAATATGTGATATTTAATTTTAGTATTGATTTTTGCATTTTATAAAAGATGATTTATATAACTAAACAATGAAAAAAAATTGCTTTGATTAATGTTGCTCAAGTTGGTTGCTCTAGGATACTAATGTATTCATATAAAAAGCTGTTGGTAATGAGCTATTTGGTGTCTCTGTTGTTGCTAAAATTTATCTTGTTGTGGGTTATAACCTGAGCATATTTGAAAAATAATGAATACAAGTCATTTTCAAGTTTTTTAGATTCATCAGTCTTGAAATATATTTTTTTAGATGTAAGAATATAAAGTTCTTTCTCTTGGATGAGCTTGCCAATACTTTTCCCTAATGTACGATTTTTTTCACAGACCCTAAACTATGTTCCTCCTCAACCAAGCAGCAAGTTTGTCAAGTTGCTGGGACTGCAAAGACGGCACAATGCGCCTATGGGTCTTTATCTTTGGGGCACC